GGACCCACGCTCGCGAAACAAACACTCCCGGACTTGGCCACGCAAAAGCGTTACTTGAACATCGTGCTCGAAAGGACGCCTTCAAACCACCGACAAGCCGCGCAAAATGTGAAGATTGACACCCAGCAGCACCAGCCTTCCACAAGAAACAATAAAAAATACAATCTTCTTGCTTGACCCCGAATGGTAACTTCAGGGCTTGTAGATACCGAGAGGTGCAATAGACTCCCGTCCAGAACAAAGAGGATTGCCAAAAAAAAAGAAGGAGAGCATCACACGGATCAGCGTGATCATAATCTAGCTTCGACCCCGACAACACCTGTTGCGACGCGCGTATGGAACTTTTTGGGTCAACGAATCAGCGTGATCATTATCTATCTTCGACGCCGAAAGCACCTGCTGCCGACACTTGTGTGGAACGACGGTGTCACCTCTCTCCGATGTGCGATGGCCTCTGACTTTCGTCGCTCGTGCAGCTCCACCAGGTCAGGGAAAAGCTTGCGGAAGGCCGGATTCTTGCAATTTACCTCCAAAGACTCGGTCGCGAACCTCTTTTTCTGGACACGGAGATAACAGAAACCATGGGTCGACTCACGGATTTCATTATTTTTCTGAACGCATACATTACCATTTATTCTGCACGCGAATCAAAAAGAACAACCGTTCTACAAAAAGGAGAAATTCTTGCAGGTTTTCTCGAAAGACTCGGTGGTGAATTTCCTTTTTTTGCACATGGAGATCTGTAAACATCAACCATGGATGGATGCACGGATCTCTAGTTTCGTATTGTCACAGTGAATCTTTCTTGTAATATTGCCTCTTCAGATTTCATTACTTTACAACATTCGAATCTCATATCCTGCACGTGTGGCAGAGAAACGACGACGCAAGGATGTTGACGTACGACGTTTCTCCTCTTGAGGGGGAAAACACCATCAGCACGCTGTTCTATCGTTTTGAAGTCGAAGCACCTCGCACGTCGCCCAGGGTCGCGGATTCTTTTTGTCGCGGCGGAAACATGTTCGTTCCCCGCCATCCATTCACCTCTACGCCATCCAATCGACAAACACCCTTACCACGCCACGCCTGAGCCGTAGAGCTCGTGACGCTGCCCAACGTCGCGCCGACTAGTCATACATCTTCATTTTCGTGCGAAACATTACGTGTTCGAGCTCGTAACATTCTCAAGCCAACCAAAACCCCATCACCACCAAAAACATGCTACCCTTCCGAAGAAGAGCCGGCCCGCTACCGTACTACACCCGAGCGGTACAGCTAGCTCGTGCACAAGGTCTCGGGCGTTATTTCTTGTTTTTGTTGCCAAAACAACAGGTGTTCGAGCTCCATTACATTTTCACGCGTCATTCACAAGGGCCCCGCCACCGCATAACACCTCACAGTCCTGAAAGAAAAGCCGAGAAAAGTACACACCTGAGCCGTTGAGCTCGTGATGCTGCCCAACGTCGCGGCGTTGTCGAGCATGAAGCTGTAGAGCCCCATTAGGATCGTGCTCACGCTCCACACGGGGTTCCACGACTCCGGGTGGAAGTCGGACATGCTCAGGCAGAGCCTTCTGGAGCAGGCGAATCGGCCGTTCGGGGTCATCATCATCACGGACGGCGGTTTCATCGGGTACTGCGGAGGAGGTGGGTAGAGAGACGGGGGGGGGGGGGGGGGGGGG